TTAAGGGCTGGCTTGCTGCCACAGGGTGGGGTTTTATTCTGGTATCCTTTTAGAGTCTGCAGGTGTTTGGCACCAGTTAAAATCAGGGCCAGCTGTGATATTTCAGTTCTGATATTTCCCTCCCAATAGTTCTCAGAAGTGATGCTTCAGGGTGATGTCTTACACCTGATGGATTCAACTTGTGTGGTATAAATGTGAAGACTCTGTTAAATAACACCAGTTTTGCAACACCCTTTGCCGTCTCTTCCCCACCCACAGGTCATGGCATCAAGGAGAAAGAAAAACATTAATCAGAGGTTCAGTCATTCATATACATATATATTTTTTAACTGAGCATTTCATTCAAAAATGGTGATACACTAGAACCGCCAAATTTATGGTCTTGAGCAAAATAGAAAAAGCAGGATAACACATTCTCTTTTGATTCTCATGGTAGATAATGATGCTTTTAAACCCTCTCAGTGGCGAGATCCATACCTATTTTTGCAGGAATTTGAATAGTTTCTATTAAAAGCTGCATTTTCTTTTAAGTCTGTTTGGGTTGGAAAACCTCAAACCACAATGTATTTCATGCACATGTTCCCAAGGGTATGTTAAATAGGACCATACTGAGGTCATCTAGTAAGTTTTTTAAACTTTTTAAGAATTCCTTTAATGTACTACACAATCTTGGCCTGATTAAAAGAAGATATTTTAAGAAAGCACTTGGAAACATGACTATTAAAATCTATATGCAGATAATCTATATTATACTTCTACAATGCACAGAGTTTTCCACAGATAATTTATCATTGAGGGAGAAAAAACAATAAAACTACCACTAAAAGGGTTTTGGATCAAAATTTCTCTGAGATATCAGTAAATACAGACCAAAATCTCCTGTAGTATTGCTGATTGACTTAACAGTGGATGCCTGCAGGATCGTTTTAACTGTGCAAAGGTCTGTAGCATATAATCAGAGGATAAAAGGCAGACACCCTTGCATCTATCCAAGAAAAAAAAGAATCATTTGTTGTTTCAGTTGAGTCAAAAAGGCAAGTTTTCTCAGAACATGAGACTATGAGGAAATTATTTTGGTTAGGAACAGTTTCGACCACCAAGGAAATTTTTGTTGTCTACCACGTTCAAACCACAGATGAAACATAAATGGTCCACTTGATAAGTAGGCCCACAGAAAATTATCTCCTGCTCTTTGATGCTTCTAATCTCTTCTTTCTTTTTTTGCTTAGACATACCCCTTTCCACTTCATCAAAGTATCACTTCCTGCACCATGTTCCAGGCCTTGTACTTCACCCAAATCAATTTTCAGTTGAACTAGCAGCTGTGCTGGCACGGCGCACATGGAGAGCTGGGCCACGGTCGCCAGCGGTGCGGTCCCACATCTGAACAGAAGTGGCCGGTTCCATGTACCCAGGGCCAAGAAACTCCACAGCTCGTCAGGGGAAAAACAAGGGAGGACACCTTGAACGGAAATCAGACTTTTACAGAAAACAAAAAGATTTTCAGTAATCAGAAAAATTACTGAAGGGCTGAGAACTTCTTGGCACAAAGTCTGCAGACGGATTTTCTTAAAAGGATATTAGTTAGACCTTGATTTTAAGCTAGTGATCCCCATCCCTGCAGCTACACTGGATTTGCCTCTAACCACTAAATAATAAGTAAAAGAAAGTGTTTTTTAATAAAAATGTAACCATAAAAGGCACCATAACCAGAGCTACTACCATTTACTAAACTTTTACCATCTAGCAATCCCTACTATGTGCCTTTGATAAACATTGTCACATTTAACACTTACAATATAGAGAACAGATTCTATTTCATCACTTTACCATTGAGGAAACCAAAGCCTAGAAAACATAAAACTGCCCAACACTTTTGACTCCATGGTCTTACTACTGTATTATGCTTTAGTCTCTGTGGAGCTTTCCAACCAAAGGCTTCTCAGCCAGCTCTACAGATAGAGTCTCTCGGTCCCACACAGGGGGACACAGTAGCCACTTGATCATTTGGAAACCTATACTTTACAGAGTTAACCAACTCACTCATCCACTGATTCATGCATCAATGACATTTTACTGGGTACGCGCTACTTAAGTCAACTTAGAATTTCTTTTTCAGAAAGGAAAAGAATTACTAAATTCATGATAAATCCCTAGCACCTGGAATATAGTAAATACAATTAAAAGTTTGCTAAATGAACTTTCAAAGTAGTTCCTTTTTAGATGTCATCTTAAGGTACTTTTATTTTTTATTTATTTATTTATTTGCGGTACCTAGCACCTGGAATATAGTAAATACAATTAAAAGTTTGCTAAATGAACTTTCAAAGTAGTTCCTTTTTAGATGTCATCTTAAGGTACTTTTATTTTTTATTTATTTATTTATTTTTTTTGCGGTACGCGGGCCTCTCACTGTTGTGGCCTCTCCCGCTGTGGAACACAGGCTCCAGACGCGCAGGCTCAGCGGCCATGGCTCACGGGCCCAGCCGCTCTACAGCATGTGGGATCCTCCCGGACCGGAGCACGATCCCGTGTCCCCTGCATTGGCAGGCGGACTCCCAACCACTGTGCCACCAGGGAAGCCGCTTAAGGTACTTTTTAAAAATAATTTATTTTATACAAATTTTTTTTAACTCCCTGATTTTTTCAGCTTCTACATTCCTTTCAAAATACATAATGATAGGGAATTCCTTCTAAAAGAGCCAAACACTTCCAGGCGTAGGGGAAAGATGGTGCCCTTACGTCTTGTGCCAAACAGTCCTACGTACAATTGCCATAGTCATCTTTGCTTATTTTTACTTTTTTCAACTTTTTATTTTATATTGGAGTACAGTTGATTAACAATGTTGTGTTACTTTCAGGTGTATAACAAAGTGATTCAGTTATACATATACATGTATCTATTCCTTTTCAAATTCTTTTCCTGATTAGGTTGTTACAGAATATTGAACAGAGTTCCCTGTGCCATACAGTAGGTCCTTGTACTAATATTACACTGCTCTCTAGTCTTTCTAAAAATCCAGATAATTTTATACACACATTTTGGTGTTTAAATTCCAAAGAAGAATGAAATGGTATATAAGAGACCAACTCTACGTTATTGTCAATAACTATCACTGTACGATTAAGAATTTTTGATGTTAGAATTGTAACAATTAGAATCTACTTTTTGGTGGATAAGAAGGCAGTTTTCAACGACTTTTGGGGTAGTAGGAAAAGTTGGTATCCTGACTTGGAATATCACTATTCTCCATTTGAAAAATTATTTAAGAACTAAAATAAGCCATAGACCAATAATAGAAACTTCCTGCAGGTCCAAAAGAGTTGAGATACAAAAATTAAAGTAATTAAAGTGAGCTACAAGGGAAAATTGGGAATGAAAATCCTAATTACCCAATATTCAATCCGAACCAGCCCATAAAGTGAACACTTTTTTTTTTTTTTTTTTTTTTTTTTGCGCTATGTGGGCCTCTCACTGTCGTGGCCTTTCCCGTTGCCGGACGTGCAAGCTCAGCGGCCATGGCTCACGGGCCCAGCCGCCCCGCGGCATGTGGGATCCTCCCGGACCGGGGCACGAACCCATATCCCCTGCACCGGCAGGTGGGCTCCCAACCACTGCGCCACCTGGGAGGCCCTAAAGTGAACAATTTTAAGGATGGGATCTTGGATCCTTGTTTATCAAAGCCTAAAAAATAAGTAACACTTGAATATATCTAATAATTTTTAAAATAACATTTTTTGCTTTGGTGCCTTTATTCCTGATGAAACACAGATGGAGCCAACAGAAATGCTGATGGAAAAACACTCAGGAATTCTCTCTAGAGAAATTTGCCCTCAAACTGAGTTAAACAGGAAGTCCTACACACCTTGGTTCTACTTTTTAAGCAGGAAAATAATGGTGAAACCCACCCTTTCCCCTACAACAGCTTAAAGCCAAAGCTTGAGGTGAGAAAACTGGCCCTCTGGTCTACATTCAGAGTGCACAAACTGCTACCTCATCACAAGGAATCACCAGCATTAATCACTGATGTAGTGGGGACTCTTTCACAAAGACTCAGTCCATATCAAGTGAGCACACTTTTCTCCAATTCTTATTGACCATTCTTTCATTAGGAACAAAGTGTTACCATACTCACAATCTTGGCAGAAAAAAATAGCACAGGGCAGAATTCCTGCATTCATTCACCTTTTTTTCTCCGGTAAATATTATAATCATTGAATTGAACACAGTTCAATTATCCTTTAAACAGATATTCATGCAACATGAAGGTACCAAAGTTAGAATTAGGTCATTTTTCTCCCTTAAAAAAGTATATTCCATTTTCAACAATTCATTTCAAAGAAAAATCTACCACTATAAAAAATGAAAAGAATAAAGAGAAAAACTATAATTTTGAAATGATGGAAGCTGACACATACATGAATAATCACAGTGAAAGTTTCATAGAAAAAGGCAGTTCCTCTACATTGTGGGATTAATATGTGAATCTGAGAAATGGTAAATTGCTTGCAGTGATACTGATTAAAGTAATAAAATCAAAACTTATTAATTTGACATTATCTAAAAAAAATCATTTGAACAATGTTATAGAAGAAATACTTTTTCAGATGATCCTTATTTCTGTACCCCAAGAAGGAGTCTGTACGCGATGTACAGCACAAATCTCTATTCAAGTACATTTATTCTTCACAAATAATGCACATTAATCAAGGCATATAAAAAGCCTCAAAAAAAAAAAAAGCTTCTCATCAGCAGAATTAATGATGACTTGCTTTGTACATTTTATGACAGCCATACGATGAGAGGGCAACTATAGCTGTGAAGGTCCTCCCATTTCTTTCTGCAGAGAATGATGTCTGAGTGCCTGACTCCAACCTTTCAATTGTCTATATTTCTATTTTTCAGGAAAAACCCATGCCCTGACCTTGGATACTTTATGGCTGCTGAAGAAATATGTTCGATCAGATACATATGAAAGTATGATTGTAGGCTGCCAGTGCTAAATTCTGATTATTTTTATTTCAGACCCACACTTTAACATAAGAGTAAAAAATCACGTGATGTGACTTAAGCTCAAGATCAATGGCTAATGTACACTTATATGAATCAGTCTGGATAGAAAAGAGAGGCAAATTCTTGTGGTTTTAACCGAAACATACTAAAAATTTCAAAAAACAAACCTGGGGTTCTGCAAACACATTCTTCATGTTGTTAATTGGGCCATACGGGACTCCACTGCCTTCGAAGAGGTGTAACCACTTGCTGGTCATTTCTTCTTCAAACCTAGGAAGAGACCAAAAAAGGATGCACTTTTATACTCTAAAGAATGTATACAACCTGTTTTCTCCTGTGGCCCTCTTTGAAAGCAACAAAAACATGTTTCTTTAACTTTCCTTGTGCCTACTTTTGAGAGAATGTTGCCAATATGAAACAACCTGAGTTGCCCTGTAAGTGATAAGAATAGCCACTCCCATCACCTTGTTTGCAAATCCACCATTAGAGTTGAAATTCCTCCTATTTCTGACCCTATGAACTTTTTGACAGAGAGACCCTTGGAGAAGAGAGATTATGTAGAAAATGGTATTAACTGAGCTTCAAATGTGGTACTGAGCACTTGATGAATTTAATGATGATAATATAATGTTACTGAAGTTTTGAGCATAACGTCATTGTGCAGTGTTTTTTAGGTCTCAGGCAATAGTATATGAGGTTAAGATAGACAGAGATATGTTAAATTATTCCTCAAAACAAAAAATAAACTAATGAATTGGTTTTAAAAGAAAGCTGTATGTTTTACCTCCATTACTCTTAAAGCACACCAGAATTAACAGCCACAACCACTGGCCTAAAAAAAACCTTAATTACTTATTTACTTGCACTGTGGTTTACCAATTAGAACAAATGGAGACATGTGAAGACAAATACCTCAATTTAGCCAACCACCCTCAAATTCATCCAAGTCCTTTATTTTTACTATAATTTAAAATTGGACTTCACAGACACAAAAGCTTATCTGATTTCCTTTCTTTTTTCTATTAGGTCTTAAGGAAAGGAGACCTAATTCATTAATGAGATTTACTGTTTTTTTAGTTCTCTGTTAAGACAGTGAGCACAGAAACAAAATCTTGGATCCTCAAAGACAAATAAACACTCAATATATGAAGAATTTGACAATTGTTAAAATAGCAAACTATTTTTAGTTAGGTAATAATCTAGGTTAAAGGAAATTTTTAAAAAGCGTTAGCTACAGTAAATTATTGGCAGCAAGTAAAATGCTTCACGAATATGGGAGAGCTAGTGGAAGTATAGTAGAAATAGTTAATATTCACGGGCTTCTACTCAGGTCTCTCAGACATAGCTAGAATTAATTTCAGATCAGCAGATTCTATGGGAATTTATGTCAGAGAAATGCACTTTTTCCACTATTTAAAAAGAAGATTAAAAAGTGTCGATACTTTGAGAACACTTCTCTAATTGCCATCTAATAGATAAAAAGAAAAAAGAAGTCTGAATTAACATACTCTAAAAGACAGACTACTATATGAACAACTATGTTCAATCACATAAATTTTTTACATAAGAATCTGATAAAAATGTTTAATGAAGGTAGTATACATTTCACTAGGAATATAATTAATCCTATTCACACATCCACTTATTCTACAACCACCTAAGGAGCGTCTACTCTACACCAGGCATTGATTTTTGTCTTTAAAAATAATGCCTTCCCCTTTTCTTTCCATTATGATAAAGATTTTTCATTATACACATTAATTATGGCCCAGTAATGTTAACTATCCCTATTTAGTACACAATAAAAGACTTCACTTCAAATATTGAAAAATATTCTTTCATGGGAACACCACAATGCAAGATTATATGTTTTGAATTAGTCAATTCTTCGCATCCACATTTTCTTTTCAATGACTATTAAAGTCATCTCCTGGCGGAGACTTGCTAAGATATATATAGATATATATCACCAGAATGATATATGTTGAAAGAATAAAAGAGGTGCTTTGAACCTGGAGCCTTTTAAATCAGGGTGTTAATTATTTAAGTTTTCATAACAGAGTGTTATAATGGTTACTCTGATGAATTTTCAAGACATAAATTTATCACCACTGGACTCACCCAAGTGGCCTGAAAGATCCGCACAGAAAATGCACGTCAATATCTCAACAAACCCATAGCTGCAGGCTTGCCAACAGAAAACTCAGGGGAATAGTTGAAGTTTTAGTATTTATATAAGCTTTTCACCACTGGGCAAAAGGGAGGGATTTATTTCATGTTATGGAAAACAACGGATGCACTTTGGATATGAGACTGGGGAGAGAGGCAGCGTCTGGAGCTGCAGTTGTGACCACTGTTTGTGTATTTGAGTGGGTGTGGGCGTGGAAGTGTTCACAAATGCCTTAAACTCAATCAGTCAGAGACGAACATCACTGCATTCCGTTACTCCCAGAGGACGCATCCATCATTTTCTTCTGAAAATCTATCTCTTGATCTAAATCTGATGTAGAATCCTTTCCTTTATCTACGCAAGAAAAGCTGTAAGTGCTTGTTTATATGAACCACAAAAATTCTGCTAAAAAAAAAATGGAAAGAGCTGATTTAACTCACTCAGGGCAACACAATCCTAAAGATAAGACAAGAAGGGTGTCCCTGGATCCAGTGTAGTAAAGCCTCGAAGCTAGGGACTCCTCTGGGAAGTTCCTTGGAGACTCATAAAACAATTCAGACTTAATTGTAAACTTATTAAATCAACCCATATATTTAATTCTAGGTTTTTGTTGAATTCACTTGATGCCAAATGGTTATTATTAATCAGATTACATCATTTACGCAGATGAAAAAACTGCTGCTTAAAGATAGACTTGAGTTTCAATTTCTTAACATGAAAATTTAACTTATAAAGTGAACCAAAAATTCTTCTCTTTTGAGAATGGATTAAAGTTGCAGCCAAATCCAAGGCCAGAGAGCAACTAATAAGAGATCCATGCCATGAAGGTGGGAGTTGAAAATAATTATAACATTAATGATTAATAAACGCTGGTCATTAATTGTTTGATCTATATTTTGTAGATTTTATCCTCATAAGCACATTATAAGGTAAGTATTATCCTCCTTTGACCAATAGGAAACTCAGGTTCAGAGAAATTAACTTGCTCAAATTCAGATAGCTTCCCCCACCCCAACTTTTTTGAGGTACGATTGACAAATAAAAGTCATATGTATTTAATTTGTACAACATGATTTTTTAAGGTGAGCAATGTGATGATTTAACATACATATACATTGGGAAATAGTTACCACTATCACAGTTACCATTTGTGTGTGTGTGGTGAGAACACTTAGGAACTACTCTCAGCAAACTTTAAGTATTTGATACAGTATTATTACCTATAATCACAATACTGTACATTCGATTCTCAGAACTTTTCATCTTATAGCTGAAAGTTTGTACCCTTTGACCAACATCTCCCAATCTCCCGCACACCCTAGCCCCTGGCAACCACTGTTCTACACTCTCGTTCTATGAGTTTGACTTTTTTTAGATTCCACGCATAAGTGAGATCATGCAGTATCTGTATTCCTGTGTCTGGCTTATTTCGCTTAGCACTAAGATGCTTCTTCACTTTCATCCTATATACCTCATGATATATCTCTTTACATTAATACTCACTCATTCATTCCTGATGCTTTTAGCAAGTGTTTTTTGTGTGTGCCAGTCATGGAGATTACAATGATAAAAAAGAGACAGTCATCGTATTCAGAGATCATATAGTCTAATGGAGAACAGAGCTATCAAAATTTATGAATTACACTGCAGGATGCTGAGACAAAAATATGAATGAACAACTTGCAGTCGAAGCACCAAAGAGGGAGACCTGCACTGGGCCTGGGGAGTCAGGAAAGCATTCAAAAATGAGGTGACATTTGAGCCAGGTGTTGAAGGATGAGTTAGAATTCTCCACGCGAAAGGTGGGAAGAAGGATCTTCCAGGCAGAAGCAGCAATGTGTACAAAGACTCCATCTGGAAAGAATGTGAAATCTCCTGTGCCTTGAGCGGCAAAAGAGGAAAGGGAAAAGGGAGGTTAGAACCAAGAGTGTGAGGCATCTGGTGAGCTATGCTAAGGATATTGGATTTCCACTGGCAATGAGGAACCAAGAGAGGTCTTTCAGTAGGGGACTGACATAATCAGCATTGATACAGAGAAGGGAAGGATATCGATGAGACTAGAGAAAAAGAAACTTGACAGGAGGCACCATGCTGTCTCCCTCTGATGCTTCTTAAACCTGCCTCTCCATCAATATCTTCCATATTACTGTCAACCAGAAATAATAAGTTTTTGTTTGAAAAAATAAGTTTTCCAGGCATTCTTACCCTTTTTTGTTACTATCCTATTTATGTTTCCAATCTATCATTACTGCTTGAGCCTCTGATATATGACTTGGCCACCAACACCTTTTCTTACCCAGTCTCCAAGGGTCTCCAGTGACCACTTGGGTCTGCCAATATTCTGTTCATAGTCCGAATCCCACTTGCTTTCTGTGCAGTATTTGACGCTGTTGGCTGTCTTATCTTTAGGTCCTATGATACCTTCTTGGATTTTTAATACCTCTTTGGCCATTTCTGGTTTTTTTTTAATTAAATTCTTTTACCTTTTCCTTCCAGTCCCAATATTCTTCACTTTCTTTTAAGCACTTAAGTAATCCTGTCATCTCTATGCAGATGATACCCAAATCTATTATTTCTAGCCCTGACCTTTCCTCAGTTCCCCTTTTCTAGTTACCATAGAATATTTCCACTCAGATGTAGTATCATCCCCATAAACACGACTTGCCCATGGATGATTAAAATTTCCATTTGCCCCATAAACCTCATATTCTCCCTTGCCTGAAGGGAGAGTTTTATTCCTCTATTCCCACTATTACTATCACAGTTCAAGCCCTTGATTCGTCACACATGGACTATGGCAATAGTTGATTAAAAACTTACTGCCTCCAATTTTCCCCCTTTCCATAAATCACTCATTTTAGATATGTCTCAAATCTGTCCAACTATTTCCTTCCCAAAGATCATTATCTTCTCTCACACTAGAGAAACAGACGATTTCTTGACTGTTACAGCCCCATAACTTAAATTACAGTTGGCACTCAATATTTGCTAAATGAATGAATATATGACTATTTGGGAAGAATAAGAGGGTCTTGTTTGTTTGCCTGGTGCACCGCAAGCCAAACCCTGAGACGATGAGCTTTGCAGCATAGAAAGGGTT